GCTGTTGTTGGAAAAGGAACACCTGAGTAGTGCCTTTGCTGGGGGACTTGCTAGAATGTTAAGACTTCTGCCCCTTCAAACACATGTGCATAATCACGCGTTCAGTCATGCCACCTCCAAAAGGACTCTTCCCAGCTGGAGGTGTGACTGGGTTTCTCCCGATGGACTATATTCATTCTTACGTAGCAACTGAACAAACGTTTCTAGAACTCCTACTGAACCTCAAACACCACTTTAAACCCTGGGAATTCCTCCCATTACATGGTTTCTTCTTAGTGGATCTTTTACAGCTACATCACTAGGCTGTATTTTAGTTGTTTCAAAGCCTGCTGATTTCATGGAAGAATCTGGAAGAGAGAAAGAAATTTGTTCACCCAAAGGAATGAGGGCTGGTGTTATGTCTGTGACTTCTCAAGCCCTGAGAAAAGAACTAGGCCCTACGTGTATGATGCAGGTTGTTGGTTTAGGTATCGTATGGAATTGAATCTTTGGAACTCTTTCTGTCATGTATCAGTGAGGAACTACAAGCTTAATGGAGCTTTGAAGTCATTGGTATGATGGAGTCACAAATTTGAACTAAATCAACCCCCAAACCTCTGCACTATTTGAATTATAAGTCACAGTTTTTTAGCATCAGATTTTTCCCACTTGACACTAATTATGAAATTCAGCTGAAGCGTAGCTAAATAGAGGAATGGAAGATGGAGAAGAGACCTCAAATACTAGATTGTGTCTTCTGGTAGTGAAAAATACTTCCTATACAACTATTGACATGAAGGCTAGTATAATACATTCCTATACAAGGCTAGTAAGGGTAGGGGGATAGTTGTAAGGAAAGCAGCTGATGAAATCGGTCCTGGAGGAGAACAGATTTAAGAGGTGACAAGATGGGCAGATAGAAGAAGTAAGATGGAAGAAGTGGAAGATCCAGGACAGAGATGGCTACTGCCAAAACATGTGTTGTGTCCTTTCGATATTAAGACTAAAGTGCTTTTCGGTTCCTCTGTAAGAAAAGTCCTGGCAGACTTGCGGTCTTTTAAAATCTTCCTGATCATCACCTCGTTGTACAAAAGCCCAATTAATTTTCCACCATCTGGATGATGTCGTCTCTTTCCATCCAGAATTGCACAGAGAGAGCTTTCACTCTCCCTGCATGAGCTAAATAAACTCTCCAAGGCAAATATTTAATTAATCTTTACTTTTTCTGGCACTTTACAAGTTCGAGATTTTCTACTAGAATGATTTAATATGGTTTTAAAATATCCCCTTTTCAGCTATTTGTGTCCTTTTTGGAGGTGTTAAATGTGGAAGCAATTATCTTCTTATGACAAGATCTGATCTTTTTCTTGGCTCAATAAAGCTTTGTGCCTTGTGACACCTGATGCGTAGGTAAGGAATTGGGCTTATTTTCTATTAATTTGCAGTGAGTTACTTTCCCTTAGATAGCTTAAGGGTAGGATGTATGCGTCTCTGAGAGATAAGCCACAATTTGCTAAGTGTGTAGGAGGACACTAAAAGCTAGAAAAGATTATGTTCTAACAAAGTGAAATGTGAAAAATCTTTCTTTTGCATTACTCCATAACCATGGCAGAAAAAAACAAAAAAGCTGATTAAGTGATTTCATGGGGCGTAACCTAGAAAAGGATGGTCTTTTTGAATTACTTCTTGTTAGTCTAAATGGGAATCTTTTTTACGGTGTGTGAGGCATCATATTTTTAGTTGATGGGCCCGTGATTTTGAAAGCCTCAGGTTCTTACCAATGTTCAGAAAGCTGGGGCACTGCCAACAGAGAAGATAAAATAAGCTCTCTGATTTCATCCAGCATGTCTAATGTGTGCCAGGGAAAAATTCTTTTAACATTCAGAGAGAATAGTTTTTGTTGTTGTTGTTGTTGTTTTATAGAATGATGAGAGCACCAAAGTAGATGGTTTGTGTTCTGCCAAAACTGTGGCAATAGTTAATTGTCTTGGGGAACATGAGACATTTTACTCTGTGTGAAAGTGATGCCAAAACACATTTAAAAAATGCAACTGCTTTCTCCATTTTAAATTCCAGTGAGAAAGCAGATCAGTTCACAGTGGCCTAGTAAGGACTGACACTCCCGTAAGGTCAGTAAATTCCAGGGCTGGAGATAGATAGGATGGCACATTAGAAGTAGTTTTCAGAACCCGGTGAGACTTTGTGAAACATGGGAAATATTTACAAGTAGTTGAAGTTAATACAAAAGTCAATTATGGCAAAATCATCATCATCATGTTTGTAGAGCATTTCCTGTAGGTCAGCCATTCTACTAAGTCCTTTATGTGCATTCTCTTAGACATGCGGCAACTCTAGGAAATAGATATGATTATTGTCTCCATTTTACAGATGACAAAATCAAGGTAGAGAGAGGTTAAATTATTCCCTCAGGAGCATAGAGCTTATAAAAATGGGGGTTGAGGATGCAGGGAGAGCACTGGGATTTGAGTTCCAGGAATCTGAGTCCCAAAGCTGTAGATTCAACCACTAAGCAACATTACATCCAGGAATCCTTTTATGATTAACACCATTGAAGGAGCCAAAGTTTGATTCGCTTACATGGATGCCAGCAGTCAAGGCCCAATGAATAAGAAGAAAACAACGTAGGTAAAGTTTGCCTTTGGTTATTTTTCACCTTCTTTTAATTCTCCTACAAGGGTTTCTACTACTCATTTTAGCCCTACTCCTGATTGCAAACCCATGTTCTGTTTCTATAGGATTTTTTTTCTAGAAAGGCTTACCATGGGAAGTAGTTTATCATAGTACGTTATGAAGTCTTAGGGAATCACTCCTTTAAGGGATGTATTTTTGGCTTTCAATAGGAAATTTTAAGGAATACAAAGTTTTTTAGATACACAGAAGCCAACTCTAAATGTGATTATTCAGTCTCCATTTCAAACCTATGGAGATGGTATTTTTCAGGCCTTGGGCTCTGAGGTCCTTAAAGCACACTGTGGATAGGAGGTGTAACCTTGTCTCCTGGAAAGGCCGCTTATAGAACACTAATGGGGAAAGGGTCAAAGGAAGGGAGAAATATTGCATAGATGGTAAGTGATCCAAAAAGCAGGAAGAAAAGCATGAGATCTCATAATGTGGTGCTGAGTTTAAATTCCACCTCTGACAGTTTCTAGCCATGTGACTATGGGCAAAAGTCCACCTGCATTAAAATATCTGCTTTATAGAGTTTCGAGGACTAAGTAAGATTAATACTGAAAACTGCAGCAACCAAAGGTATGTCTACATACAGGAGGTTCTTAGCCAAGATTAACACCCTTCCTTTCACCCCCTGCCACACTGTGTGTGAGTTGGAGGGGACCAGGAAGGGAAATGGTAAAGATTGATGGGGCTGAGCTGTCTAGAAAAGAAAGATACTAAGTTGTGAGATACTTATTCCTTGACATGAATCAATTTGGTTAAACTGATTCATTCATTCAACAGATACTTATTGATTGCTTCTGTAGTTCTGGGTTTGAGGCTTATACTCACTGCATGTAGCAATGCCGATTTTGTGGGATCATGACTTTATACATTTAGAATCTGATAAACCCAGCCAACTGAAGGCAGTAAGGCATTGCTGGTATCTTTCTCTTGCTCCTTCTTCAGCTATAGCTTCCAATAAGTGCTTCAGAAAGTTGAACAAGAATAATTTCCTGTTTTTGCTGTATTATTCTGGAATGCTCTGCACAGAGTATCTTCTTTAATCAGGACATATTTAATCAGTAGATCTACCTCTAACCACTGGCTATTGTTCTCTCTGGTAGGTGTATACTAAAGTATAGAAAATACAGAAATATAAACTTTATTTACCTGCTTTTGAAATTCCACAGCTCCCAAGTTAACTGTAGCAATAGAAACCACATAGGTGATATAAACCATTGGATTTTTAAGAACTTCATTGGATTTTAATTGAAGATCATGAATTATATTCTTGTTCTTCAACTAAGACTGTGTGTGGTGATACCTCTAACCCTTGATTTTTAGACTAAACAGACCAAGAAGGATAGATATTGGTCAGAGCTAATGAAGAGACTGAAAAGAGGTGACCTTAATAATCATGCCATGGCACTTTGCTATTAGGGTTTGCCAAGTGCTCCCTGAATGTCCCCAGTCCTTGCAGCCTATTCAGAGAAATAAGGTCATGGTAATGTTAATGCTGTTCTGTTTTAGATGATGCCTGTCACCCTTCCACCTCCCCCATTACCTTATAAAGGGGCAGCAGAGACAGAAGGAGAGTCATATCATCCCTTCCATTGTTTTCAACTCCCCTCTCTCCCCTAGGTACCCATGAACCAACTTTGTCCCATCTCCTTCAGCAGAAAAAACAAAAGCCTTTCTACATATCAACTAGGCAGATCTATCCCTTGTGAGTCACCAGCTTCATCTTCACAGTCTTATTTAGGCTCAGGCAGGCCCACGCTGCTACCCATTTATGAAGTTGCCTGGTTTTGCTGAGCTGATAACCATAAAGGAACTAGGATGCCATCAGGGCCTAGTGGAGATGGGGATCTTCAGCTACTGTAGATGATCAGCATCAGGACTACCCCCAGTAAAGGAGTCACAGTGGCAGGTAGAGGTATGGCTCTTAAGGAGTTTATTAACACATTGCAGGATGATCACCCGTTGAAGGAGATGAAGTTCAAAATACATAAGGTGAGTTGGCTGAGAAGACACTCCCGCATGTGCTTGAGAGAAAGGTATTCATTTCTGTGGCCTTCGATACAGTATGGAGGTTATTCTTAGACCTTTACTTTTTCTAGGGCCAGACTGGGCAGGGAGTCATGGAATCCAGATGGAAAGAAAGGGACACCATCCTCCTCACTTGGACTTCAGAGGAAATAGGATGACCGAAATCATGGCGGTGTTGTAGTTTTTGTACAGAATGTGTCACGTTTTAATCACCAGGATCCTCTATGCTAAGCATCAGCAACAAGGCACTGTTTTGTTTATGACCTAATCCACTCCTGACCTTCTACTTGAAACAGGACCCCCAGTTATTCATTCTGGAATCAAAGACCTCAAGGTCTTGAAAACAACCCAGTCTGGATTTGAAGGTTTCATCAAGGACCAGTTCACCACCCTCCCTGAGGTGAAGGACCGATGCTTTGCCACACAAGTATACTGCAAGTGGCGCTACCACCAGTGCAGGGATGTGGACTTCGAGGCTACCTGGTATGAACGTGTGCAAGTAGTGTCTGCCCTTGTCCCGGGGCACAGACTTCATAGAGTCTTAGATCTGAAAGGGAAACTTAGAGGCCATTCAACTCAACCTCCCCTCCCACTATTCAGAAATCTCTTCTGTTTATTCAGTTTATTATATTGGTGGTTCTCAAACAGGCATGTGCATCAGAATCACACAGAATCAGAAAATGAAGCTTGCTGGGCCCACCCCCAGAGATTCTGATTCTGTAGGACTGAGGTGGGGCCCAAGAATGTGCATTTGTTACAAACTCCCAGGGGATGCAGATGCCACTAGACTGGGGACCACACTTGAAGAAACACTGCATCAGATGAAAAGAATATCTGGCCTTACTACCAACTTGTTCCCATTTGTCAGGGACTTTCCTGATTTTAATACTGAAAGTCCCACATCTAAGAAACCTCTTGGTTCCAGGCAAGCTGGGATAATTGGTCAATATAGGCTAAACTAAAAATGACATGATGTTCATAAAAGCATTTTATAAGTTGTAAATGCTTTAAAAATACTGTCAACTGAAATAACAAACTGAGATAAATTCTCCAAAGATAATTTTATCTAGGAACACACAGGGAATCTGCAAATTTGTGGGCTACAGGAACCATAGGTATATCCTAAGAGGTTGAGGGAAGGGGAAGCTTTTAAAAGCAAAAGGAAAAAGTGTACGTTATTTGTTTTGAGACAAAGAGAACACTGGTTACAGTGGCTATCGCAGTAGTTAACGCCAGCTCATTAGTGGAGACTGTGTCAGGCAAGTGTTCTTGTACATCCTGCTAGCTGTCTTTGTGACTCACGTTGCAAGCCGCAGTTTGAAAAGTCCTTGGCAAAATTCTTGTTACAAGCATATATACCTAAGAGCCCTTCAGAGAGTCTTTGCAATTGTTCTTATAGCCATGTGTGTGTGAGAGCCCTCCCTCAGCTTCCTGGCTTTATTTATTCCATTGGAGTCTGACACAAGTGACTCCATTTTGATTCTGACAACTCACAACATAAAGGTATGATTATTATTATAATAACCTAATGGAGTAATTAGGCCTCTGAACTTTTAGAACTTGCCTTTTGATTAAGTATCTCGTTCCTTTGCTAAAGCTCTGTTAGCAATTTCTACCCTACCATAAGCTAGAATCTGCATGCATACCCTTCCCCCACCACCCACTCCCGCAGCACTCCCTCCCACTGGTGTAGTTTTTCTCTGCTTCTTTTATTATGTGATAGGTTTTTAAATGCATGACGAGAATGTCACCTCAGTCCTCTTTCCTTTTTATTTCAAGTACTCTCCATGAGCAGCAGCCTGATGTATTTATGTTGAAAAGAGCATGAAATTAAACATGCCAGAGGCAGGATAGTACTGTAGGCTGGGCCTCCTACTAAAAAGAGAGACTTAGAGCAGATCATGTAACTTTTAAGCTCAAATTCTTCATCTCTAATTGGGGATAATAATAGTACCTACTTCAGCTATATTGAGAGAATTCAATGACATCATCACATAAAATGCTTAGCACATAAAAATCTGTCTAACCTAAAAACACAGAGTCTGGCACAGAGTAAACTCCTAAATGTAACTATTCAACGAACTAGCCAAGCAGAGCAAGATGGTGAGAATACTTGGAGTCCTCTTCAAAGGTTCTTCAAACATGACGGGAAATTTACCCTGAGGTGCCCATTGGGCCCTAGTGCCAAACTATGAAGACAGTCTAGTGATGCTCAGTATGTTTGTTGAATGGGGTGTGTATGTGTGTGTGTGTGTGTGTGTGTGTGTAGGGGAATGGGAAGTGAGGTGTTTTGTTTTTGGCATTATAAGATACTAATCTCTTCTAAAAACATCAATAAAATTGTTTTCTGGGGACAGATAGGTCACTGTTTCTTTGCTTTCTAACACATTCCTAAAATTCCACCGTTTCAGGATCCTCAGTGACCTTCTCTGTGTTATAGGGACACCATTCGGGACCTTGTCCTAGAGAAATTTGCTGGACCCTATGACAAAGGCGAGTACTCGCCCTCTGTTCAGAAGACCCTCTATGATATCCAGGTGCTCTCCCTGAGTCGAGTTCCTGAGGTATGTTGTGTCAGTTGCCATTCTGAGGATTGGGAGAATGTGTGTCTTCTGTCAGCTCTGAGAAAGAATTGAGAGTTAAAATAAGAAAGTGGAAGACACATGAAATATGACATCTGTTGTTGTTCAAAAGCTTGTTATAGCAAGTGAGAAGAGAGCACAAAATGGAAAAATCTGTCTAACCTCAAAACACAGGCCACTGTTGTAGTCCTTGAGTTTTGTTGAAAATTCTTTGAGTCCCTTCAACCTGCCACTGATTTAAGCCTCATATTGAGGAAACTTGAATGCCTTGAGGGAGAGGGGTAATTATACAAAGGTTCTGTGTTTCAGGAGAACCAGAGAATGAAAGATAGATGTAGAAAGATTTCATCCATCCATCCACCCATCTATCCATCTGTCCATCCACCCACTTCCCCACCCATTCATTCATCCGTTTATTGAATGGTGATTATGTCTCTGGCAGCACACAAAGGATACAAAGATAAATTAGACATAGTCACTACCTTCAAAGAGCTCATTGTTCAGTGAACAAACAAAATAGGTAAACTAACAATACAATAGAGAAAAGAGTATTGTGAAAGTACAGAGCAAAGCACCTAACTCAGGTATGGGAGATGAGTGCAGCCAGGTTTTCTAGAGGGAAGGGTGTTTGATTTGAGTCTAGAGGTTATCTGGGTTTACTCTCAAGGGTGAGGCAGCAGGAGAGGTATGGAGACAAGAGATGGCATGATACAGTCCTTTACTGTTGGGTATATCACATGTGAATGAATATATTTGAATGAATTATAGTCTTTCCATGTACCTAGAGAAGAGGCAGGAACCACAGCAGCCAGTCAAGAGGGCCTTTGCAGGCTTATTTATAGAGTCTGTACCTTATCCTGAAGCCTTCTGGGAGCCACTGAGGAGTTTAAACAGGATGTTTTGTGCCAGATTTGGATTCTAGAAAAATCACTCTGACGGAAATGTGATAAATTAAAAGGTTGATGGACTACAGGCAAGGAGACATGTTGGGATCTATTTCAGAATCTTGCAAGGAGAATCTGGGCCGTGGTGGGGCTGGAAAGGAGGAGTACCACCCTTAGACCTGGGCAAGTGAGACTCCGGCCATGGCTCAGCACTTTAGAGGCCCTCCTCAGACCTTCCTCTGGCTAGGCCTCCCTCCACTGGGTGAAGAGTCAGTGGGGCCACAGCAACATACCCTGCAGAGGCCCATGCATTCTCCAGAATTTCCGGTCCAAATAGCTCTGAGACTACTTCTGGAACCTGGACAAATCACTTCTTGAGGTCTGTCTTCCAGAGGGCGGATCATGCTATTGGTGTTCACGTTTAGGCCTGAGAGTAGGCAAAGAAGCAGATGTTTGCAGGAGGTATGGGTGGTGCTCGACATGCAAGCTGGAGTGTCTACCTGTGTGAGTCCAAGAGAGAAGGTGGGATGGGTATAGGCAAGGGTCTGGCTCTTCCCATGCTGCCATGCTCTGGCATGGTACTCCAACGAGTCAGAGAATTTTAAATTAATACCTGGCTTTCCAGGTTGTTATGAAGGGTATATTTGTCAAGTTAGAAGAGTAAAACATATTTCACTTAAAAAAATTTAGCTTGATTTATGTAACTTTAAAATCTTTATACATTTGGTATGTGGATCTCCAATTATTACTGCAAGGCCTATAAACGTTAGGTGCTGGCCTGGAAAGGAGGGAGTGGAATGAGGAGGAATTTAGAAAGTTGACTGGCTAGTAACTGGAGGCCAGCTGGATGTCAAAGAGGTCTCCCAGATTTCTGACTCGAGGAGCCCTTTCTTTTCAGAGAAACACATTTCGTACACTGAGGGGGAGAAGGGTGAGCCCACCATCTAATCACAGAACTAGCAGGAGAGAACAGTGTCAGGCAGTGGAGGGACATCAGAGGGTGTCTCCAAATCAGAGAGCGAACCTGAGTAATGGACACAAGGGTAGGGGAGGGCGAGGGTGGCTGGAGCAACAGAGATGGAGGCTTGCAGCTCCTAATGTGATGCATACCACTGTGGATTCCAGATAGAAGATATGGAGATCAGCCTGCCGAACATTCACTACTTCAGCATAGACATGTCCAAAATGGGTCTGATCAACAAGGAAGAGGTAAGAGAACTTCAAATATATTTAAAGCACATATCTGACCCACCCACTTCTGCCTCCCTTTTACAAACCTGGGATGATAATGTCACTGAATAAAACTCTTAGCAACTGTTGCTTTGGGGAATATTTATAGTTGCCAGTGATTAGAACCCTCTTCAATTCTGGGACTTTCAATGCCTGAGGTTGGAGTGCCCTTGAAGTGGATGAATGCTTACATAATATTGGAAGCTGTAGAGAGGAAAAGACAGAGAAGGAACAGTGTGTGCCCAAGGAAACGGCTCTGAGATCTGCTTCTCGGAAAAGTGCCTCACAACGTCATTATTCTTCCATCATGAGGCAATGAGGAGAAAAAGAAGATTCTATTTTTACTTTCTTCCATCATTCCTACCTTTTGATTAAGTGGTCAATTCAGTGGCATGAAATATACACAGGAAAAGATGAAAGAGTATTTTTGTTTCTAATTGCAATTACAGAAGGTAAAATGAGGAAATTAATTTTTTGAAAAGAACAGTTTGTCTTGGAAAAAACATTTCTCCTAACTTTTTTTAAGCCATGGCAGGAGGTTAAACCACTCATCGTGTCTGACTAGACAGCCTGAAGTCCTTGCTGGTGGCCTGGTATGGTCAGTTCTTGGGAGATCAGAATCATTCTTCCTTCTTGGACTACATTCAAAATGATAAGATTTCTCAGTTTGCTTCAGCTTCCCACACACTTCTATAATCTAGAAAACATTATTTTGAATATCTTCTTTCAGTATGTGTTGGGGACCAAGATAGGCAAGGAGCTATCTATAGCATGGCTCTGCTCCCATAGACTCATATCCTTTGGTGGATAAAGGCTAATGAATGGGTCTTCAGAAGGTCCCACATTCTGCACCTGGTACCCTAGGAGCCTCACAATTCTTCAGGCCAGGTACCTCCTTTCTGTTTTGCAAGTAATATGGGTGGCCTCTGGCAGGCTTTGAGCACCATCACCTGCAGGTGGAGGCTGGGGAGCCACATCTGAAAACAAAAGTCATGCTTAGGTACCCAGCATAGGTGATCTAGAGTTCTGAGTTGCTTAGGAGAGCAACCTTGGTCCCACATGCTGTTCATCCAGCCATAAGGAGAGGTAGCACTATTTACTTTAGAGGAAGGGAAGGATATGGCTACTAGAATGTCACTAATTAGAACAGAAAGGCTTTTTAGAGCCTTCTAAAGGGCAGAAAAGGGACCTGAAAGTAATCCTCGCTAAGTCCATGATAGGCAAAACGAACGGACCCTAACTAGAAAAAAGGGTTAGGTGCCATGGCTGGAGTAGTGCTTAGCTCAGGACCCCAGGCAGAGAGAGGAGGTCTCCTGAGGCCCCCTCACACCTCAGGTCTGCACTAATCCCAGCGTGCTGGGAGGCCGCGGCCACAGGGTTCTTCCCTAGGAAGTCAGACTCACAGCTCCCTCATGGAGCCCAGCTGGGGACTTGAAGGCAGGAAGGCCTGAGTTCCTTTGGATCAGGGCTCTGCATAAAAAGGCACCTGAGTGGCTGAACGAGCTGTCCTTGTGTCTGTACTTTGAGAATGGCTGGGGCCACTCTGGGACTCTCACCCAGCAGGTGTGTACAAAGTGAACATAGAGCATGAGAAACAGGAAGTTGGACATATTGGAACCAGCAGAGACGTGACAAATGACAGGGTGGGAAGGTGGAAGAACTCTAAAAGCACGGCTGTCTGGAGCCATTTAGAATTGAGTGAACAGCCTTGCAGACCTCAGACACTTCTGAGGGCATGGTGATCCTACAGCACTGGCTAATGACTCATGGCCAAAGTGAGTCACCAAGAAAAGGTCAATTGTGTTCAATACACTGCATTTAAAAAGCAGAGATGTGGAATGCATTTTAGAAATATTTCTATCTCGATGAGTAACATTTTTCAAAACCTTTTTAATTTTCTAGAAAATTGACTCATCTCTCAACTATTGCCAGAATAATAAGGCATTACCATGCTTGAAGTAATTTTACTGGAGGACATATACATTTTCCTGTTTAGCAAGTTGTTGTTTTTGTTGTTTTAATAACTGATTCTTAGAAAGGAGGAAAGAACTATTTTAATGTCTCTTAAGTTACCATATGGTTTTTCTACAGGTCTTGCTGCCATTAGACAATCCATATGGCAAAATTACTGGTACAGTCAAGAGGAAGTTGTCTTCAAGACTGTGACATTGTGGCCACCAATAGGAGTCCACTCTCAGCTGAGGAATTCCTTACGTCATTTGTGATGCTGGAGATTATAGCATGTAGCCATGCAAAATTTCACACTAGTATATTGATTTATAGTGTTCACTTTCCTCCAATACGAAGCAATTTATTTCTTCTACATCTAGCTCAGCAAGGCATTCTGTGGATTACCTTATTAGTAATTGTAACATGCTTTATGGCTATAGTTTACTTTTAAAATGCTGAGCAGTATCATAACAGTTATACATCAGTATTTCTTTTTGGTTGACTTATGCCTTCCTAGCTTCGAGCAGCTTTAGAATCAATTCATTAAGAAGATAATCATGAATTAATGGGTGTGTCACATCAATTAATTTGTGCACAGCTTTAAAAAACAAATATTGTTTTCATCCTACTGATGCTCCTAAGTAATGCAGAAAAGGAAATAAAATTATATTGAAAAATATCACCATTGTTACTTCATTTGACTGAGTATTCGGATTTTAAGAATGCTCTAGCATATCACTGATGGTTTATTTCCACTCTGATAGTACTTCTGTGATCTTAATGTATTGATTTTAAACTTTTTCAATCCTTAGATAATATTTAGTACATATAAGCATACTGAAAAAGAGTATAAATTGTTTTTCTTTGAATAATGCATCCATTATGTGCACAAAATGTCACATTTAATAAATGTTAAGCCAATATACAGATGGGTAGATGTACACATAGAAAGAAGACTAGAGAGTATAGAAGTGAAAATATCAGCAATGACGATTTCTGGTCGATGGGATTATGAATGTTTTTTACGTACCTTTCTGAATCTTCCAAATATGAACAATTATTTCTTTTACAATCAGAGAAACAAACATAGTTGATGATTTAAAGATGCATACAGATTTGAGGGCTGATTATATCAACTAACACTACCATTGTGTACATATAATAAAGCTTCACGAATTATAACTTTAGAAACCCATGATGAAAACCTGTCCACATGAACATTCTAGATCACCTTTTCCATTAAAAAAATCTTTATTTAAAAAAATAAAATAAAATCTCCATTTTTAAGAAATGCGTACATATGAGCCCTTAGTATTATTTGTTAATACAGCTTTATTCACGTTTATAATACCACTACTTAAGGTTGCATTGTATAGTGGTTAATTGCACAAACTCATTTAAATCCTGGCTCCACCTCTCAGTAAGTCTAAGACAAGTTGCTTCATCTGTAAAATGGAGGTGAAAAGAGAACCTACCTCACAGGTCTTTTGAGGATTAAATGGGTTAATGCTTGTCAAGTGCTATGGTAGTATTTGGCCTGACGCATAGATATTTATATATACATGTTTGTTGAATGTAATAAATGCGCTGCCTTTTCATTTGTTATTAGGCCCACATAGAAAAGCCATCATTGGCCTCTGGGTCAGGCAAGAGATGGGAGGTGTTGAGAGCTGCAAACCCTAGAAGATGCTGGAGGCCATTCACAAGCGAGTGCCTGCTTCGAAATTAACGTGGGATAAGAAAAATGAAATAATTTGATGAGGAAAGTGTTGTGCTATACTGAATACTCATGTCACAAAATGTGCTTCTGCATCATGTAACTTACCTGGCCAAATGACTGGTACATTTTATTCCTCTGCGAATTTGTTAATTCTGTTCCAAGAGGACTTTTCAAAAACAAAAAACAAAACAAAACAAAACCCCCAACTTAATTAGACCTTTCTTACTTGATGTTCTCATATTCTTCTAAGTTTTAGGAACACTGGCTTTGCTTCACAGAAACCCTGTTAGAGCGGCGTCCTTAGACAGAATTGTGGCCCATTTATACATATGTGCATTTTGCTTCTCCTGAGCTCTTAGCACATTTACTGCAATAGATTGCAAATGAGCTATTGGATGTTATATCCCAGGTATGTGGCAGGAAAGCCTGTAGCATTTGAAATTTTCAAGGAGCAAGTTCCTGTGTTGTGAAGGATGTTTCCCTGTTAGAATTGTGAATGATGGTGCTGAAAACCAGGTTTGGGTTTCACCTGTTCCTTTCAGTTTGGCAGACAGGCAGGCAGACCTGAACTGTAAACACCTGTGAGGTAATTTGTTTTAAAAAACACTTCATGATTTTGCTAGGAAGGCTCCAGGGGTTCAGTTCCAGTTTTCTGTGAAGCAGAGCTGCCCTTACAACACTCTCCCCCCTCTCCCCCCACCTCTCTCTCTCTCTGTCTCTCTCTCTCTTTCTCTCTCCTCTCTCTCTCTCTGCTTACCACAACCCTATCTCAAGTGTTTTCATGGAGGAATCGTGCAGGTGGTTCCAAGCCCACGTGCTGCCGGGGAGGCAGTTTCCATGGCATTCAATGGAGCAGGCTGTCATGTGGGGCTTGTGGTTTTGGCAGCCAAGATTCTGCCTAAGATTTGTTCCATATTCTTTAAATTTCATCTCATAATTTTCATAGTGACAGACTCAGAAAATATATCTCATTCGTTTTCCTTTTCCTTTTTAGAGTCAGACTTAAGTTCATGCCATTCCTTATTTTTAGAAACCAATGTTATCTTCTCTTTTTTCTACCCCAATATAGAAACATAATAGGTCTGTTGAGACAGCATTTTACTGATTTGTCATTGAAACAGAATTTACCGTCTTCAATCACCTGCAGATTTTAACTAGAGAAATTTGAACTTTTTCGTAACCTCCTTATACTTTGTCCAGAAAGAGCATTTCCTCTCCTCTAGACTCTGAGCTGCGTGGAGTTGGCCCTTTGCAGTCACCTTTGCTAGACCTTTACAACTTCTGCTTTCCTGCCTGCACTCATGAGGAAGCCAAAGCATCTCCCCAAAGAGAGAGACTTGAAGCCTTCTAACCATACATACAGGACCCTTCTGGCTTCTACATACTTGAAACTTCATCTCTGTATTTTTCAGTCTTAGCACTCGTTTCTCTTACAGCTCAGCTACCTCTCATTCTTCCATTTTCCCAGGCTCCCTCTCAGAAATTCTTAATTTTTTGGAGCTTATCAAGACCCTGTTGAGAATATAATGTCTCTGGACCTTCTTCCCAGAAAAATACTCATTCATGTCTCTACAGGTGCCTCCACCTCTGCTAAGGAAGTAGTTCACACATTATCTTTAAAATATAAAGGATTCCAACAGAAATTTGCCATACGAGGAATATATTCAACCAAACTTAGAAGGTATACTACTCTCTTTACATAAGAAAAAAAAAAAAAAACTAGCCAGAAAAAAAGACAAGGATCCCAGGTGTATTCGTTTCCTGAGGCTGCCATAACAAATTACCATGAACTTGGTGGTGCAAAACAATAGAGATTTATTCCCTCATAGTTCTGCAGTCCAGAGTCCAAAGTCAAGGTGTGGGCAGTGTCATGCTGCCTCCAGGGGAGATTCTGTTTTCCCTCATCCAGCTCCTCATGCCTTCAGGGGTTCCTTGACTGACAGCTGCATCACTCTAGTCTCTGCTGTCACGGCCACACTGCCTCCTCCTCCTTCTGTCTGTCAGGTCTTCCCTGAATGACTCTTATAAGGACACTTGTCACTGGATTTAGGGCCCACCTGGATAACCCAGGGTGATCTCTTCATCTCAAGATCCTTAATGACATCTGCAAAGATCTTTGTTCCATATAAGGTCAAATTTGCAGGTTCTGACAATGAAGACATGGACTTCTGTTTTGAGGGCCAATACTTGGTGTATCCAACCCATTGGAATACACCAATACTTGGTGTATTCACCCCAATACACCAAGTAAGGTGTCAGTGAGCTTCTTAAGGGTAGCTCTTCTGGTGTATGTGGATCTTAGCTATACATAAGCCACTGTCGCCTTCAGATCTGGGAGGTAGACCATCCCCCTCTCAGTTTGATCGATTGTCACACAGATGCTTCTAAAAGGTTGAAGAGCATGGACTTGGGATGCACATAGTGCTAAGGTTTAGACTGGGCCTCAGCAATTTCTAGCTGTGTGACCTTGAACAAGTACTCTCTAAGCTTAAGCTATCTTGTTTATGAACTGGGAATAATAATAACACCTACCTCACAGTGCACAGGGTAACCAAGCATTAACTGAGATCATGCATGAGCTAGAATGCCTTTGGCAGCAAGTAACTGAATACCTAAGAACGTCTTAAACAGAAAGTACATTGTGCTTGCTTAAGAAGCTTAAGAAATATGCTATCACAGGATGGAATTGCCAATTCTGTGATGGCATCAGGCCTCAGGCTCGTTCCACCCTTCACCCTGCTTTCCTCAATATATGATAATGTTTTCTCTGTGGCCACAAAATGGGGGATAAAGCTCTTGTTAAAGATGCTGTGGTGCCTCCTGCATGACAATCTCAGAGCCTTCCTGTATTTTTCATGGGGAAGCTGACTGTGATACCAGGAGTGGTTCCAGGAAGGAGACTCTAAAATGGGATTTTGGAGCTGGATCACCCACTGGCTCACTGGCAATGAGCCTTTGGAATGCTGCAACCATGCAATTGTTAAACTGTCTGCAGAGGTGAATTGGGATAAGATACTGGAGAAAGGAATACACTGGCAGGGGCAAAAATCTCAAATGCTTGAGAGGTGTGAGGGAAATGGTTATTATAAGCACTTTGGAATTTGGATGGGTGTCACTGGGGACCATTAATACATTAAGAAAGGCAATGAAAAGTGGAGGATGATTAATATAAAGTAGAGCATGAATGCAAGAGGGCCTCCTTGGCAACACGTGTAGACAGTATACATCTAGATAGCAGAAAAAGCCTAAGCTCAGATCCAGGTCTTAATTATAAGAATAGCAGAGCTCCAAGGAAAATTGAATTCTCCACCCTTAATAGCTCTGTCACACAAAGGTCAGGGTCCTGACTGATGCACTTGAAATCTTGCATCCTCAGCTTTCCCTGAATTTTCTGGGCCTGTAGTACTGGCCTGTTTCTCCCCGTTAAAAGCTAGCCGTGCCCCTCCTGCTTGAAGACAATGCGGGCTTCTGTCTACAAGGAAACATATGCCCCCTTGGGATCTATCCCCACCTCCTGACCACCAGATCTATAAATAGAGTAAGTCACACTGTACACCAGCCAGAAACATGATGGGCTTGCTAAGGAAGGAAGGAGACCACAGGCCAAAAGAGTCGCAAAGGCACAGCCAATGTGTGTAAAAGCTGGAAGATTATACATGGGTGCTGGATGAAACTCATCCAATTTTCAAATCAAGAAGCAAGAAGAGAAGCAGTTTCCACTCACATGAATGGACAGTTGTGTACATTTATGGTCTTGCCCCAGGATGACATTAAATTTTCTAGCCTTTGTATGTGGGACCAGGACTATCAGGACATTCCACAGGACATCACATTTGTCCATTAAACCCATCATATTAATTGGACTGGATGACCAAGAAGTGACACTTATACTCTGAATAATGGTAGATAAGCCGATCAAAGCCCCACCACATTAGTGATATTTCTAACAGTCTGGTGGTCTAGGACAGGGATTGGTGAAATCTGTCCCACTACTTGTTTTTGTAAATAAAGTTTTATTGGAACACAGCCATGCTTATTTGCTTATATATTGTCTGTGGTTGTTTTTATGTTATAATGGCAGAGTTAGCAGTTGAAACAAAGCCTATTTGGTCCACGAAGCCTAAAATATTTGCCCTTTGACCCTTTGTAGGAAAAGTTTGCTGATCCAGGGTCTAGGGTATTATAGGACATCCCCTCCAAAATAAAGGACACATTATTGCGTCTCAAGCTTTCTACCACTAAGAAGAAAGCACGGTGCCTTGTATTCTCTTTGGTTTTGGAAGACTCATATTCCACACATGGTAATACTGCTCCAACACATTTACTGGGTGGCAAGGAAGGCTTCCAGCTTTGCATGGGGCCCACCAAAGTAAAAAGCACTGCAGTAGGTCCAGACTGGGTACAAATATTCCTTCTGCTTGAACCATGTGAATCAGCAAATTCTATGCAATTAGAGATGTCTCTGATTTGGGAAGATGCTGTGTGGGGCTGTGAGTGGATTAAAACACTCTTGCAAGTATTTATTCTCTCAGTCAGCAGTAACAACCAACATAGAACACTTCTGTGACCAA